CTTATAATTAAAATCTGTAAAGAAATTGTTTATTTTATCGCTTATTTCAATTTATTTTTCATTTAGCTTCTTGTTATTTTTTTAACACTGGAATTTATATATATCCTCTTTTTCTTGAAATATATGCATATATTTAAATAGCTTATTCAACTTTCTTTTTGCTACTAATAGCTTATTTTATTTCCTTTTTTGTAATTTGCAAGAATTTTTGAATCATTGACTGCATTTATTCCTTCAGCAATAATTATTAGAAATTTTTGAAATTGTTAGAAATTTTAATTCTTGATCGTAAAATAACATCAATCTTTTCATTTGCAATAAATAAATAAACTACACATTTTAAACAAAAAAAAAAAAAGTTTTTGTCATTGGCTATCAAATTTGTTGCACCTAACAAAATTGAAATCCTGAAAAACGTAATCTTTCTTCATAATCTGTTTTTTATGTTTTGCTCTTAAAAATTTCACCATTGATTTCATTTTGTTAAATTCCTCACCAACCTCTTACAACTTATCATTCATATATTTCATAAATTTTATAAAATTTCATAAAATTTTGAAATTGTTTTTTTCTTTTTTTATAACTTCATGAACCTTTTTTCAATTTCCTACAACACTTTTATTTTATTGATTCATTTAAAAGCAACAAAAATGCTATGTTTTATGCAAATTTTAGCAAAATCTGAGATGAAGTGAGTATAATTTAACAAAAACTGTGAACAAATATCATTTGTTTCTTTTGCAAGATAAAAATTTATTATCGGCTCTTTTTAACATTAAATCTTACCTTTGCATATCTTCTTGATTTTTTTCTTGAAGATTTTGAATTTTCCTTTTTGCAATAACATTAATTTCACTAGTTTAACATTGTTTATTTGATTTTTTATCGCTTTAGTTCACCTTTTTTTACATCGCTTGATAATGCTCTGTTTAATTAGCGGCAAGCTTTATTTTTTTTATTAGTTTTTATTAATTAATTTTTTGCTTTAAATAAATTTCAATAAAACAAGGTAAAATTTGCTTAGCTCATTTGTCGTTATTTGATTAGTATCTTTTGTCATTTAGTTGTCTGCGGTGGTTCACATAATTTTTCTTTGTTTTCTGTTATATGGATCAGATAAAATTTATTTGCTTGAACTGAAAAAATGACAATTAACAATGTACAGTGGGTGAGATTAAATTTCATTTTATTTTTCAGTAAAAATCAAATTATAAGTGCTTATTATGGTAAACTTTTAGCAGAAGATAGATATTTGAGAGAGAGAATGAAATTTCCTCATTCATCCCACTTATTTTTTTTTTTGTGCAATTATTCTGATTAGAAATAATATCTCAAATAATTCTCGGGAGGTTGATATCTCAAATGACGCCACGAATCAAATAATAAATGAAGCAATTCAAACAGTAAGAGGGAATAAAAAAAAAATTAGGAGAAGGAAGTTTTCTTTTTTTTTCTTAATTTTTTTTTCGGTCATATGACCTAGTGACCCGTATGTGCTACTAATGCTTCTGCTCTTGCTGCTACTACCATGGTATATGTGTTGTGTGTGTGTGTGTGTGTGTGTGTGTGTGTGTGTGTGTGTGTGTGTGTCTGTGTGTAATTGGGGGAAGAAGGAGGAGAGGGTGGACAGGACCTTCCTGTAATTCAAATTCTGATCCAATTATTCCGATTCTGTATTTCAAAATTTCATTTTTCATTCCTTGCAATAACCATCAATTTTTGTGACTTCTCAAACATTCAATAATATTTTATGAGAAGAAAACTGATGTAATCAAAAATAAATAAAATAAATGAAAAGAATTATTTTTCATTAAAAGATTAAAAGTTGGAAAAAAGCAAATGTTCGCCCATTATTCTTTGTTTCCTGATCCCGAAAATTAATTTAAAAAAGAATAATTCTAACAATTGATACTTTCATTAAATACTGCCCTTATTATGTAAAATTTATAAAAGTTTAGATGAAAAAGCATATTTTAAAATAATCAGAAGCAAAAAAGAAGAGGGCAGGAGGAAAGGGAGAGAGAGCAGGAGATACAAGAGAAAAAGATTTGAATTAAAATATGAAATGAATGTAAATTATGGAGAGGAAATTGATTAAAAAAAGAATAATTTGGAGAAATAATATTTTTATTAAATGCTCTTTTCACTATATGAAGGAAGCAGTTCTTTAAGAAAAAAAAAAATTCTATATTAGAGCAATTAGAAACAACGTCTCATATTTTTCTGGAATAGTTGAATGCCAAAATTTACCTAATTTTAATAGCGCTCCTTTTAATAATTCTTTATCACTATGACATGGTTTGTTATTAATTTTGTCACTATGATACGGTTTGCTCAACCATTCAGTCCATTTTCCTATTAAGCTGATTGGCAACAGTAGTACTGACAAATTGTGCTGTTTCATTTACTTTTACTTTTCCCTCTTGGTAAACTGTTAGTTCAGAAACGATTGATCTTAATTTAACCAAGCAAGCTTATAACTACTTTATGGAATAATTTTGGCGAAGTTTCCACCTCTTCTTCCATTATAGTACAAACTACTTTTAACTATACTTCATTGTTTGTGCCAAATAAAATATGCCTTTTAATCGGATTATTCTTTTCATCCGAAATGACGGGTAAAAGTTAAGTTGAAAAAGGTACAAGAAATAGCGGAGTGGGCGGAAAATGGTTCGAATATAAACCGGTTTTGAAATACGCTTTTGCAACTGTTCACATAAAATTTGTACATCGTTGTGATATATCTTTTGTATATATCGAACAGATGTAGAACAAAATAACATATAAAAGGGATGAGTATTATGAGAGGTAAAGGAGGAGGAAAGATGAAAATTGAAATTATAACAGTTTGATGATAATATAAAATCTTTTGTTTTATCCTCTCTCCTTTCACAATCTTATTTTCTTTTGCTCTTCTCTCTCTGTCTTGCTTTTTCTCTCTTTTCCCTTTCTTTTTTCGTTTACTTTTTGTATTCGACTCCACTTTGGATAATATTATCATTCAAGAGAGCTATGATTAAAAATATAAGATATGGAAATGTAAATAATATGTAATTCGATTTATGATTATGTATAAATATATTCAGAAAAAGAAAAAATTTCGGGATTGAAAAATTTTTTAATATGAACAGAAAAATAAACTATTTATCATAGATAAATTATCGATTTATGACTACTCCATCGGTATTATAATTGCATTATATGTTAAGGTAAAATGATTAGTGATAGACTTCTCTTAGGCTATTATGATTGGCTTATTTATTATCATATTTAGTTTTAGAATATCCATTGGGATATTTTAATGAGGGATTGTTAAACCATTATTATTGTATTTTACTAATTTAGAATGAACTATATCTCATAAGAATATTAGAGTGGTTAATTTTCATTTTAATTTTGATTGCAATTAAAAAGTGAAATAAGATGAAAAGTTTATAATTCATTACGCAATAATGCCATATATTGTTAGTATTATCCTTTATTAGCTGTCGCACTTATCTTTTTGCATTGTATTTTGCAAATTCATGATTAAGCATGCGAACTACAGGTATTGTGGAAAATTCGATAACTTCTTCATCATCTGATCACGATAGTTCAGCAAGTTTACCATCACCTCCAAAGCAAGCACTAATGGATGACGATTTTGTCAAAACTCTCGAACAACTCTCGAGACAAGTTTGTTCAATTGTTAACATATTATTAAGCTCATTATTAATTTCAAAAACTTCCGTAAAGCTTTTGCATTATGCATAAATAACTAATGAATAAAAAATACGGAAAACAACTCGTTCTTTACCATAGAATTGATTGAAATATGTTTATCGTGTTTTAATTTGGATAAATTAACTGCGACTTTTTTTTCATTTATGGAAAGGATTTGTATAATTTTATTTTAATTATGTATTATTTTGTTCGTATATTAGGTACAATTTAAGCTTTTTAATATTGTAGGAGATAAGTAGAAAATGTGAAAAGTCGATTTTTCTTCTTAAAGTAAAACATTTAGCAAACAATTGAATGAAACATTTCATCTTATTATAATTGGTATGAATTTTTTATCCTAATATTTCCCAATTATTCGCAAAATCTTTTAAATTTAGGGAGAATTGTTGAAAAAAAAATGATCATTTCCTTTTCTTCGAAACGTTATTTAAAATTTCCTACACTAAAATCATTTTATGTCTTCCTAAAACATTTAAAATTGTTCCAATGATTAAAAATTAATTTCCATACAGCAAAAGCGAAGGCTTAAATATGACACGCAGAATACGTTAACTGCATTTCAGGAAGTAGCCAAAAAAGGATAAGTAATCTGAAAGCAGAAGACTCGGATAATCCGAAAATTTTCGTCATAAAAAATCCAAGCATGATAATTTTAGTTTTAAATTTTATATTTTTTATAATCTGTAAACTTGTTTGATTTTCAGCAGAGTTCACGAGCTCTAAATACTGCAGAACAAGGCATCACACCTCAACATGGTAATTTCAGGACTGTATTGAAAAGACCTGATTTGAAAGGTGTCTCTTTTTTGTAATTTATAAACTTTTAAATAATTATTTAGGCTGTACAAAAAAACGGACGAGTAATTTATAAAAGAAGTATTGTCAAAGTTAAAAACTTTAAGAAATAAATTCTTGGCGAAATTTCATTAAATAATGATT